CAAACTTGATAATTATTAAATGATTTAACGGGCAAAGAGCCGAAATAAAAATATTATAATTAAAAGGAGAAAACAAAGAAAATATATTTGTGTTTATCACATGTACGATCGTAAAAGATTTTAATATTTGTAAAGAAAATAGATTTAAATTATAAACAACAAACGTTTCGACACTGATCGGGTCATTCTCAATGTTAACAAATTATTAAAATATTAACGGAAATTTAACAAGTAATTCGAATATAGACAAAATTTTACAAGAAATTCGCAGGCTTCTAAACCAAAATGAATTCGAATAAAAGAAAATGTAAAACAAAAATTATTTTGGTAATAACGCATCACTTCGCCCACGTATATTAAAATAAAAACAGTAGAAAGAGGCTCGACAATAATAAATAAATATTAAATCATTTAATATTTATTTATTATTGTCAAGCCTTCTTCTACTGTTTTTATCTTTATAATTATATTTAAGAAATAGAGAGATGAAATTACATATTTAATTCAATAGTTGCTTATTTCTTAATCATATTAAAATTTTATAATGAAACTGTTTGTATATTAAAATGTATTTATGTCGCCGAGAGACTACAACAGATTCTTAAACAGCAGCTTAAAACAGTTTCTGAATTAAGCATTTTGAGGTGGTCATATAAGAGCCAGGGATCGTATTGGTTGCTAGGCAGCTCTGTATTGATCTTCCGATGAATCAACATCATAGTACTCTAAGCGGAAGCCTGTCACGTGTACTTTAATTCGGATCAGATAGAATCGCTTGTGTACATAGACGTAACGAAAATTGAAAGACTAAACTAAATTAGAAACCAAGATTCGTCTCTGAAAGGTCACTCTTGCAACACACCTTGTTATATAATCGATACTAATCATAAGCTTCTTATATACTTAGTGATACATGTGTTTCGTTAAAAATAAAATCCGGATATCTCTTAAGAACTCCGGGGGGGAAATAAATAAATAATTTCTTTTTATATAATTTTCAAAATATAATTATTGAATTATTTCAAGATATAATTTAAATTTAAATTTATTTACATATTATGTAATGTTATAATATGATTACGGTTAAAAATATAATTATAAATTGGTCAGTTGCGCGCGCGGATAATTATGGTACGTACTAATTATATTACTTTTAGTAATTATCGGCGATTTATCGTGCACGAGGTATTAACTGCAATATTCTAAATCGAGCGTCTCCTTGGCATAACAGACGTATGTGAGCTGTGTGTCAAAGTATTTTTATCACCTATATAGGTTATTGTCACCACCCACGTGGTTGTAGTTGACGAGAATCAGTCGTTTTTCTCTCTTAATGCATCTTAAGAGCATAAATTACAACGTAACAAATAGATCTAATATACAATATTTTAATAATTGTATTAATAATATGTTTTAATTATATATTTCCATTATTGCGTAATACTCTTTCGTAAACGTCGTGTTTAATATTTAGGTATTAGCGGTTTAGGTGTTTGTGTGAATATATATTTCGGAAATTTTTGTTATTTAACATCGTCTTTAAATCCTTCCTATATTTTATATAAAATATTCTTACCTTGCTTATACAATGCAGTCTTCTCAGCCCGTTTCCTCCGATTCTCACGAGTTTCAGCATCTTGACACTTTGCATCACTACCACCTTCAATATTAAAACACTCACTAATAATTTTCTAAAATTTTATTCCATGACATTAATTAAAAACAATCGCAATTAATTTACCATAATTTAGAAATCTTAAACAAAGCGAAAAAAATAATTTAAGAAAGTAATCGAACTGATCCGTTTGAAAGCAAGATATTTCAATTTATAGTTTAGATGTTGCACGTCAAATATTTGGTCAAATAAAATTTCCTTTCAAAAATTTTCTAATCGATATCGCAAACGAGATGTCCACCGTTTTGCACTTTAAAACGCAAAATGCTCACTCTCTCTCTCATTTCACATTATTTGATCCATACTTTTAAGATATAACTTTCTCAACTCCACGATCTAATTGTTTAATAAATTTTTAATTGACATTGTCGAATTAATCACCAGTTGTAATTTTGTCTGCGACAACGATGTCGCCAGCAGAAAATGACCTTCTGCGTTGCGGCAGCCAGTGTCTACTGCATCGAGGGTCGCACAGAAGGCAGGGAAGGCCGGCCGGCGGGACATGCGCGATTTAGGGCTGGTAGAAAATTTGGTTATAGTTGATCCAGAAAATATCAAGGATTTATCGGTCGGTGTTAATTGGCACGGTTTATTTCACAGAAAATGAAATGACATCAATATTATCTCGAAAAAGGTCTGTCTGTATGCACATAAAATAATTTTGATACATTACCCTTGTAGAAAAGTACTACTGAGCACTAGGAGTATTTTGAGGCGGTACTGTACTACAGCAATACTCAGGCATTACTGTACTATTATGCGTGGTTACACTACAGCACTACTGCGCTGATGTAGTAATAGAGTAGTCCTGAATAGTGCCTCAAAATACTCCTAGTGCTGTTTTACGTCCCACATAACCCTCGTTGTCACGTTAATGCATGGAAAGTTTCAACATATTTTTCCCTAAACCTTCTTAATAAACCTTGTTCCCTGCCTTTATTTTATTACTTTCACTAATTGCTTTCCTTTCCTTTTTGTCCTTTTATTTTCCTTTCATTTTACCCTTTTGAATATTTCCCTTTTGAAAACCTCTTTTGAATATTCAGTTTTACGATGTTCTTAGAATTATAGGTAAAAAAAGGGGTGTACGTGTCTAAGTCCTTAGCTCGCCAGTCTGTAAGTTTGCTTGTAACACCGTTGAATAAAGCTTGGTCAAAAGACAGTTGTCGAACCTTTTTCTCATTATTACAAGTTGCGGCGTTCTGCGCTCGTAACAGTGCTCAGTAGTACTTTTCTACAAGGGTACAAGCATACCCTTTGATTACTTAAATTTATGCTATGTATTGCGTATCAAAAATAAAATAAATAATAAATCCTCTATAATTATTTAAAATATAATTAAGACCAACAATTGTAGTAACATTGCAAACGTTGCAAGATTTTGTGCTGTATAAGAATAAACACAATATTTTTTATATGATTTTAAACAATAGAACAATGTAGAATGAAAAATTAATTACGGATTATTGAAATCGATAAATAGGGTAATAAACACTTATCATTTATTGTCTTGCAATTGTTACATAATGATATAATATATTGTATAATAACTGTAAATCTTGAATGAAATTTCTTATATTGAATAACTGTACGTAATCCGAACAATTATCTCTAAATTTCTATCATTTAAAATTACATGATGTGATAAGTAATAATGCGAACTGCGACATACGAGAAGGCATCTTAATAAAACAAAGTGCACCGATATAATTGCGTTATGCAATATATGCAATATAAATATGTTTTACAATCGATAAGATAGCTATCCTGTATGTGAAGCTATATTCTACTATAATTGTAAATATACTCGTCTAATTCAAATGTTACACAATTAGAAAGTTATAAGATTTTTATAAATATAATCAGCATGAAGTAACTCACATTTCATTTGATTCAACAAGTTTCAGAATTAAGTCTAAATTGTACAATAATCAGAACAGGTGAGGCAGTTTTCAAGTTAATAGATCTTACTTATATTATTGATATTTAACACTTTGGTTTCCATCTCCTTCCTAATTCTCAGCGTACTTATAGACAGACCAACACTTTGAAAGATATAAGCAATGAAAGAAATTATAATATTATATTTTTTCTATAATTTTTTTTAAATTAACAGGATGCGAAAGTTTTAATCAATTCTTTGACAATCACCATCTTTCTAGGACATCGAGCAATAAAAATAAATTAAAATTTCACTACTAAAATGATTTTTTGGCACTTTGGGAAAGTCCAAATTTTAACAGAATTTCACAAATAATAGCATCTTGAGCAAAATGACATATATGAGTTAAATAGAATTAGTTTAGGCGTCCTGAAGCCAAATTCAATTTGTTAGAGAATATTCAAATATTATAACTATATATTATTTTATAACAATATAAAACAGTGCACTGATATTGTATTACATACGCGTAGTATTGCACGCAATATAATGCTGCATGTCGTTAATATTCTATATTACAAGTCACTATTTGTCATTTAATGCACACAAAGATGAGAATCGCATCAATTTTCATCTTCTAAAATCTGGAAGACTATTGCATAATATGTGCTCAAATGTATGTATATATGTATAATAAGTGTCCAAATACAAGTAAGTTGTACAAATTGTAAAAAATTCATTAGAAAATATCAAGCAAATCTCAAAAAGGCAAATATCTTTTAATTTCGTATTACCTTAAAGTGTTCAAAATAGCGTAAGCCGCTCTGATCTGTATTTAAAAAAAATTATAAATAAAATTATGTCGTTGTACAGTGTTGTCAATAATACGCTTTCAAAAGTGATGAGTAATTATACATCTATATTTACAAACGATGCGATCAGCTTTTGATTTTATGCGCAGAACAAGAGGATTCTTAATTCTATAATATAAATAGGATGAAGATGATAAGTGTAAAATTACTAAAAAAAACTTTTTTTACAACGAAAAGAAAAATAAAATGAAACATGTAAAAATTCTAACGCTATTATGATTTTGATCTGTTTTAAACTTTTTAAGTACATTAATTCACACACAATCGGATAGATCGATCCTGAGAGTGAAGGCAATCTTCATTGTGTATCTCGAAAGTGGCGTAAGTTTAATATATGTACATACATTGAAATATGTGTGTATCAATTTAAATTTAATGATATTATCTAAAGGTTGGCTTACGTCATTTTCAAGATAATTTTTGATAATTTTTGACGAATTTATCGTCAATCGTCGTTTATATAGTCTATACTAAATCGGCAAATAATGTAAACGTATACCACTTGGATATCTTTAAAATAATATTGCGAAACAACCGAAGAGAGCGAATAACAGCTCTCTTCAAGTCTTTAAGTAAAGTTGTCTATAGACGTTAATTACCTCTTATAATTACAACATGATGCAACACTAGTAGAGATCTGTCGCATCAATCCGTATCAAGTAAAGCTTTAAAGTTGGCAAAATCATCACGTTTGCTCCTTTTCCTATCATTAGTTCATTGTCAAACAATCATATTAACTATTATATGATAATTATTAAAATAGTTAAAACAACTGTTTGAAATTATCATAACTAGAAATACAGACGATAAGGAAATAATACATATTTCATTACTGCGACTTCTTTAAATCTTCATATTTTCGCTAATTGTTAAATCGAAGGTGTCGCGCGTGCGACTAGCGCTATCAAAAATAGTGCCGTTTTTATTCGCGAAGATGAACGTTATCACTCATTTTATCTACGATTGATTATCTCATTTACTATATCTGATAAGTAACAGACGATTGTATAAGGCCAATTTTATCGCTTGCAATAAAATTATCTTGACATTGTTTTCAACGCAAGACGTATGCCTCGATCTATTCCAGGTCAATATCAGATCACTGTATCCTGATAAGCGGGCGGTCCACTGAGCACAAACTGTCGCTGGCTCTGTCTAACAACGTCAGTGCGATTAGGCACCTGTGGTGTCGCTCTAACGCCGTGATAATTACTATAGCTAGATCTAGCGCTGGCCGGTCGATTGCTGTACAACTCCTCCATGTCATCGCCGTTCAGACTCTGCGTGCTGGTTTGTTGGAACGTAGGATTGCTTTGACCCTGCCACTGCATCGGGTTCAGCTCGCCAGGCGATGCCTGCCAGTTATCGGTGAGATTGCGAGTGGAGCTGGTGGTTGGATGCTGATGGTCCCAACCAGCGGGCGGACTCTGACCGGCCGGGAAGCTAGACGAAGCGTTCGAGTAGTTGTTGGAGGAGTCCTGGGTAGCTGGCGGCCATAGAACCGGTGATGACACTGCTACATTCACCGCCTCCGACTGCCAGTTCCTGTCGGTGTTCCTCTCACGGTCCCAGCCAACTGCAATCCTGTCGTAGTTGAGCGTGCCCTGGGACAGCGAATTGACGTTCTGGTTCGTCAGATTACCGATGCAGGGTGTGACCGTGTTCGCATACAGGTTTTCCTGGTGATCCATGATGCGGTTCACCGGGTTCTTGCGGCGCGATTGGCGTACTGAGCTGCGCCGGGTGTTGGAACGCCGCGTGCTATCTCGCGAGATCACGGAACGTCGCTTCACCCGACGTGGCGTCATCGGTTTCGGCGACACACTGTCATCCTGCACCGGTGGTTCAGGCTGCGAGTATTCGATGCTATATAGCGGCCGTGGCTGCTTCTTCTTTCGTTTAGTTCGTACTGTCAAGGAAACAGACAGAGAAAGAGGCAATAAGATTCTGTGGTGTGGTCAATTCAACTCTTTTTCTGTCCTTTCATAATGATCAAATAGTTGATGATCACTGATCAAAACGAAAAATGGAATTTATCATTTTGTTAAAACAATCCATAACGATATTGTTTATTTCATAACCAAACCATATTATTGTGTTTTCTTTTTATTGTTAATTGTATGGTATATATTAAAAAACTGTGTGTGTGTGCGTGTGTGTGCAGTCCTTATATCCATATTTTTTTAGTAAATAATTATATTGATAATAATTAATTTTTTTTAATCAAAGTGGTTTCCCTGCAAAAAGTAGTTCATTACTTTAAACTATCTAAAAAATTTTAAAAGATGCTAAATATTTAGAACCAAAAATGTAATTATATAATAACAACTAAGAAATGTAGAAAAAATGAAAAAGTTCCCCAGAAACCACATAGCAGGAAATTGTTAAAAAAGGAAAAGAAAGAAGAGTGAAGGGTTAATAAATAAAAAAGCAAGCGAATAGCGACGTTGCATATTTATTGTTCCCATAATTAACTGCGCCAAAGTAAATAATGTGATACAGTGATTAAATACAAAACTGATTATATGATGTACTTAAAAAAATAAATATAAATATTCTGTACAAACTTGAGAGATGCTCAATAGAGACTGTACTTTATTAGAAATATTAAATCTGAAGCGACAAAAAATTTTACGTTGTACTCAACGTTTCTCTTTACTTGAATCTTTTTTCAGAATGTAAACAAAATGAAATACTAATATTTCATATTTAATAAATAAACAGTCATCGAAATATAAGGCAATAGTAATATTTCCTATCTAAATTTTATTATCTAATTTCTTTATGTAAGTTCTACGCAAAAATAAATATATACAATATTACACATATAAATAACATAATGTTTATCTTTATCATTATCTGTATAAATAAAATATTATGTATTTCAGATAAAAAATAAACGGTACTATCATATAACGCATTCGTTATATTCGATAGAATAAAGTATCTAATTTATGTAAATATATATATAACGATCTGTTTTTCGTACATAAAATAAGCTGCTTTAAGATATATCTATTTTTCACTTAACAGTCTTTTTTTATGCTCGGTATTTAACTACATACTATTTTTTATCAAAAGCTAATATAATTCGCTAAAAATATATTTTTTGTGATGTCACTTCAGATTTCTTATTAAATTATAATATAACGCAAAAAATCAGTCATTCACATGTGAAACGTCACAAAACAAATAAGATTTTTTTATAACTATACTGCCAAAAAGAATATCTGAAACTTTATACGTAAAGAAATCTCAATTAAGTCCATACATAATAGAGAAATCTATACACTTAGATACTTTCTATGAAAACGAGTACAGAGACTTTTAGGTAATAAAAATACTTGACTTTGCTAAATTAAAAATACAAAAAAAGAAGAAACCACATCTACTACATGCACTACTAAACAAAGTAAATTGTAACATGCCGCTCCCCCGTTTAAGTTTCTTTAAATATTCTACAATAAAAGAAACTTCATAGCACTGGGTCAATGATCTACAACTCTGTAAAGTAAACTAATTAAATGCAGTCTAATTGTTTCAGAGTACCAGCTTAAAGCCCCTATTCATTCATGTGCATACGTAGCGTACGACAGAATTCTGAATAATAGAAATGTATTAATCTCGACATAAGGAGAATCTAGATATAATATTACAGCAAAATATAACGTAGCTTCCGTCAACTGTCAAAATTTCTTGATTTAAATTTAAAAACTAATAATAAAGCTATAGGTATTTTACGCCGAAGTAAAATGTTCCAGTCATATGCTGTCTTTTGTCAATACTTTTCTCTATGTAGTGTGCATTAAATTCTCCCAATACATACAATTTTCGAGATATCACTAATCAAACTCGTATATTTATAAAATGATAAATATTTCGTGTGATTTTAATAGTTTCTATACATATCACAGTAAATATACCAAAACGAATCAATTTATGCGTAGAACACGAGCAGTGTGTGTAAGTGAATCATATACAAGATGATTCACGCTTATTTACTCCTCTTAACTCTTTCTGTACAAATAAAATGTACCTAAATTATTAAGTAACATTTTTTCTGGCTTCTCACACTCTTCGTTAATCTTATCAGCTTAATATGGTGGCCGGAGATAGTATTAGTCCAAAATTAATCCTGTTTTGTACCATTACAGCACACTAATACTAATCTTAACTTAATTATTTATTTATATGTATGTGAAGTAATGAAGAGAGCAAAGAATAATTATTTCGAATCATCCCACATATAAATATGCAACATTTATGAATTAGTAGGTAAGTCACACTGCATTGTTCGTATAAACAAACAAACGCTATTGAACACACAATTCGACATCAGTCGATGTTTCGATGCAAATTACGAAGAACACCATCAATAAATATTATATAGTAACATTATGTAACACACACAACTCGTAATTTAAATCAATAAAAATTGCCAAAGGAGAAGGCATCTAAGGGCTATATAGCTACACTAATTGTTCTATCTATTTGGCAAGTATAGGAATTATAATATTACACGTACACCGCACGAGTGGACGCCATGCGCGGTAGTATAGAAGTTTGCGTAAACTAACTTTCGTTATTCTTCTCGTTATAAGAGAGCAGAAGAACTTGCGCGGGCGATTTTATCTGCCAATCGTACTTAAAAAGGTATCATCAATGTTAACTCAAGTACTTTAAGTGATCGCGTATAAAGCGGAAGATCCCGTTTCAGAAGTTACTCGCGTACAGAGACAATGGTCGACTGTCTCGTTTCGACTGAGATGACCTGTCATGTTCGCTCGGTGCTTGATCAACGTCCAATCTTGGATCGGAGTAAAATGATCTCAGTGATTGGTCGCGTACGTGATCAACAAAGACGCGGGGTTTAACGGGATTCCTGGTTTGCTTCGCAGCGATCTGACGACACTTAATACGCGCAACCGGGCTGTATCTCGACGAATGCAGATAATACAGCCTGTTTTTCTGAAATCTCAGCTTAGCGGCACTGTCCAACGAATCATATTCGTCGTATACGGGTGAGACGGGTCGCTGTAAATGGTCCACCGGATTCAAATAGTCGACCGAGTAATCTACATTCTGAAAATCGCGGCTGGACGAACGACTGCTGTTACTACGGACTGTGTCGTTCTTGAAACCCACGACATTGCTTTTGCCGCGCGCGGTACCACTGCCTAGCAACTTCTCGCCACTGCGTTTCGGAAAGCTCGACTCGCGATAGGCAGATTGATGAGAGCTAGCTGTGCTGGTCGGATAATTATTTTGAGCGGAATTTTTGAGGGAGTAGGCAGGTGGTGGAAGAGCCGAGTAGCTAACGTACATAGGATGCAACGGTGTGTGGCCTGCCAACCCAAAGTCATCACCTCCAACAAAGTCAACTGAAATATCATCCAAGAATCCATCGCATTAAATGAAATCCGCTGACGACAAGTCGAAAATAAGCAATGCATTAACGAATTCATTGAAGAAGCGAATACGCGACCAGTATACCAAAGATGTTATTATACTACAGCCAAACTTTTTTCCCTGACGCGTTTCATGAAGAATGAATATCCTATCTTGAAATCTTTGGTTGTAACATTTGGTTCTATTACATGGCATAGTCTGCTTAATTTTGCTGTGCCTTTACAATTGTACTTGTAATATTCTTGACTAAAGAAAATAAAAATTATACCGTATTAAGACACAACACCATTCCGTTCATGCGAAGGTAAAGAAATGCTATTTGAATAATATCGAATGGCAATAATAATAATAATAATAAATACAAATTACAAATCTCAAGATGCAAAAAGTTTTACATCGCTACATATATTCAAACTAAATTTACATTCTATAGCTTCATGATTATACTATAAGAAATTATTTACTCGTGCCAAAAGATAGACAAATATGTATGGCGTGCATTGATGAACAATTAATTAAGCGGACTTACCAAAATGGAGGATCAAATCCACCAATGAAATCAACTGTAACCGACAACCTCTTTTCAAGCAATAATAAATAATCGCGTATACTTACACGTAATTAGGGATTACTAAAGATAATTTTATCAAAGATTTATCTAATTTCTTATTGCCAATTGAAATTTAAAAAATAATGTATTCCTATTTGTGATAATAAATTCCTTGACAGTTATGTGCAAATTTAAAGTGTACATTACTGTACAATTAGAAATATATATTCGGAATATAATATGATGAAGTATGTCTAAAACAATAAAAGTCTAGCGCTTATATACTAACACAGCTTTTACGTTCGTCAAAATGTACTATAATTACATTTAAAAAATAAGTAACTAATAATCTCAGTTATTCTTTATGATTATCTAACTATTGCTGGAATGTTTAAATTAACAATAATCATAAATACAAATTGTACAAAATTATAAATATAATAAAAGAATATCGTGGCTTGTTACTTTTAATTTCTCTAAATACATATAGAATAATATTCAGTTTTCAAACTTTTTTTATCAAATATATTGTTCTAATAATAACCACAACCTCTCCTCAATTGCTTATTATAAACCACAAGCCAATAAAGTGTAAAGATCATTAATTCTTACTTCAAGCAAGTATTATACGTATCTTTTAAAATATCACAACTAAAATATACCTAATTCAACATATTAGTAAATTTTAACTTTGGTCTGTAAAAGACAGTGATAAAAAATCTAAACATAAATTAAAAGAATGTATTTCTTTTGAAATTTCTTTGAAATTTCTTTTGAAATTTTCTTTGTAATTTAAGACAGAATCATTTAAACCTAATATATATATGTATACATATATATACACATATATGTATATATACATACACGATATTAAATATACTCACAGCTATCATCTTCCTCAAAGAACACTTTACTGAGACAAATTCCACCGACAATTGCCATAAACTGAAACATGTAAAATAGATGAACTTTCGAACTTTGGAGCTAATTAATATAATAATAAAATATACGCAGTCATTATGATAATGTATGATATAATAATCAATTCTTTACTTACACCTAGAATACATTGCGTCGCAGCATGTAAAATTTCTATCACTTCATAATCTAACACGCAGTCTGTTACATTAGTAGGTCGTGCAGGTCGAAAAAGCTCTGGTTCCGTCACATCGTAAACAGCTTTGCAACCTGGTCCATTCACATACCACCATGAAAAGCTACCAGTACCAAGATTAAGTATATCGCTATTCTGAAAAATGTTACAATATTATGCCCATTATGTGCGTACACAATAATTTATATTGTATTTACATAAGCTACTTACTTTGTCCAGTATTCCTACATTGAGATAAAAGCATATGATAAATACGTTCCATCCTAACCATAATGTATTCCATATACAATACTAAAACAAGAATCGTAGTTATTTTAATAGAAATAAATAATTAATACAAATATGTAGAAAAGACATGTTTCCGCATCTTTACATGTTTTGATTAAACTGTCTTGTTAAACTTTTACAGAATATAAATTTTTATTGAAATATATTTATATAAAGATCTTTTTTACTATATATTAAAAATAATTACTTACCGATATGATATATTTAGGTCTATATTGAAAGGCTCCGAAGAATCCTAGAATTACGAAGATAATATTGAAAAAATTGACCAGTATCGGGGCCCACATAAACCCCAAAAAGTCGAAAACTTGACGTTCTATAGTGGTAATCTGAAAAGAAGAATAAAATAGATTGCATCATAACACATGAAAGCATTCAACGGGAGCGTAAAGTAATATGTGACAACATTTCAATTTCTGCTAATTCCTTTTGTGAGTGTTCTTAAACTATGGCAATTGCTCTATGTTCTATATACTCAGTTAATTAGTCATTCTGAGTCATAGCATTTAAAGGCGCTACACAGTTACATGAAAGATTGCTCAAAACTCTTAATTTACTAAACTTCTTTATGGGCAGTTTTATTTTAGAATATTATGTATTTATTAATTTTTTAATAAAATTCAAAAATTGATATGCAGTCTTGATATTTTATATACATTTTAAAATACAAAACATAAAATATAAAACATAATTCAAACGTCTGTTAATTAAAAAAATTACATTAAAAAATATAATATAAATATACGATATTAAAATTTATTTATTAAACTTAATAGAATTATTTTCTACATATTTTTACCAATTTATATATATATATATATCGAATTTTATATTTGAAGATCATTAAAATTTAATATTATAACATTCCAACAGAGAAAGTTTTCTAACATTCCAAAGAAGAAATCTAATTATTCTTTATTACAATTACTTTCTTACACTTCTGACACAAAAAGCAAGTCACTCGTAGAAAGAGAGAGCAAGAATACATAAAAAAATGCGTCCAAGTGTAATTGATCCAATATTATCGGAGCTACGACTATATTAAATGATATAACAAAATCGCATTATCCGTTTAAGAAATCTCTTTCAGAAAAATTTCTCGAGATAATAAACCGCGCGACCTAGGTCGCTACGATAAAACGATATCCGTGTGAATTGACGATAAGAAAAATGTGGTAACGGCTCTTCTTCAACTCTCCTAATGGACGCTGTTTAAGTGCGCGTCCTCTCACAGAATAGCGTGACTAATGCATCGTATCACAATCTTGGAATCCGTAAGAAGAAAAAAAAATATGTAACGCGCGATCTGTACAGATAGTCATGCACAAATACATATATAGGAACAATTCGTAGCCAGACGCTACGGTCGAATCGAAAGTTGGCGTACATATATATTAACATGCACTCACTAGTTGCAGGCTGCATATTGTCAGTAGAAAATGCCTTCTGCTGCAAATTCCCATGTCATTTGGCCGCGCTCCGCTCAACGAGCGATCTCACGCGGTACGATCGGAGCAAATAACGACGACACTCGCTCACACTGCATCACTACTGCGGCACGTTCCGATGCACCATCGCCATCTTTTGCTTTTCCCCTGTTTGTTGCTCGAGTGAAACACTTGTTCTATACCCTCTCTACCGCGCGGTATCACTGTACCGCGAACCTACGACCGCAGCAAGTGGCGTGCACCGTGCGCTCGTAGCTAGGCGTAGCCAGGCAACCGGAGCACGCTCGTTTTGTCACGGTTGGTGAACGACTGCCATCACCGCGGCACGTGTAAGAAATTCACCTCCCCTCCCTCAACATCCTGGCAGCTGGGCAATAATAACGTGTTGCTTTGTCGAGCCCGAGCTATGCATCTCTATTCGATTCTATTCGATTACAGGTAATATAGATATACAACAATTTGTAAAAACAGAAAAAAAAAATTGGTCTAGATGTAGAAAATTAAAATTCTACTTCAGTAATGCAAAATATTTGTATTAAAAAAAAAATAAAAGATAAAAGTTATATAAATTTGTAAGTATAGATCGAAATATATCGATATCGTTGCGATAGTACTGTGAGCAGGTCTGCCAAACTATAAATATGAATTTTCCCGCCATTGAGAAAGGAGTTTGTCTAAAGTGGAACCAATAATATGTGAACCGGATACACAATTGACCCAAACATCTAAATATCCATTCACTAAAACGTTCTTGCGCTCACCAAGTAATATTCGAGTATGCAAATATTTGTTTTATACCAAGAAAATAAATATCCAGGTATAATCTGGTATCCATTATGTAATAATTGATTCGAGATATATCATTCAACTATCATTAGCCTTATCATCTTTCTGCATAAATACTTCAATAGAAATTTATTAATTGTTATCAGATATTTTTTTTTCTCTCTGTGGAAATACTCAACGTTTTAGAACATAACACTCCATCATAGTTTTTTTCTTGTTTTTTCTGCGTTAACTAAAGATGTTTTACTGCGTTAATTAATATTTATATGTACATCTGAGGATGGCTCGAATATGCAGCCGAAACGTTATGGTTTGACTTCTGTTTGCGTGCGCATTTATAGTGTGAATTTTAGTTTATTGTTATTTTATTTTAATTTATAATATATTAAATGTTTTATTAGAGCAGTATAATTTAAAACATATAAAATTTACACAAATAATCTTCAAACGTTTCGATTCCGTTCGGGTCATTTTCAATGTAACAAAAAAAATATATAATTGATGTACGCAAAGGGAAATTTTGAATATAAATCTTGTAAAATCTCGCTGTGCGTCAATAATTTAAGATAGTCGTTAAAAAGATTATAGAGAGACTATAATATATTGTCTTACATACATGTTGATCAATTAATAAAACAGAAAAACGTCTATATCTCAAGATCCTCATCTTGATAACAATAATAGTCTTTTCTCTATTTCGAGCAAACTTGCAAAAGGTGTATAAGCGAACACACTCTTAACAACTTCAGATAAAGCAATGTATTAAAAATTTTTTAGGAATGGAGGCAAAAAATGGCTCTTCTCAATTGGCAATAATTAATTTAATTTAATTTTTTATATACTATTTATTATTTTTTTCACTTGCATACGAAAATATATTTATAGATATTTAGTTGTAAGATTTATGTATTTAAAACTATATTTTTAATCTATTTATAATTTTAATATACTTTTGTATTTTATTTGTTCTTTCTTTCTCTTTAAAAAAATTGATTAAAAGCTTACTTCGTTTTGAGTGTGGAAAGTTCAAAGAAATGTTACTGAACGAACAGATATATTCAACGATCGATAGTCATAAATTGTTACGTTCAAACTATGAAATGTCCAAAACATGTGTATACATCTATAATTTATAATTTACTCCAAAAGAATTTGCATTTATTACTTATTGCAATTATTACTTATTATAATGTAGAAATTGTTATAATGGGAAAACTCACAAATAATTGAGTGTCATAATTTATGAGGTCACTTTAAAAAAAAAATTAAGCTTCTCACCAAATTAAGCTTTTAACATTCTAACGTCAAGATTATTAAAACTACTAAAAGTCCTTTGTCTTTCGTGCTTCTCGTGGTTTTATTTCTACACACGTATCTTCAAAAAACGGTAAGAATTTATTTAAAAGATTATGAAAAGATTATTTGCTTAATGTTAGATAACAGAAAAAAATATTATAAAAGAATGGTAATTTTTTATAATTACATGTAGAAGATACATGTAGAAGATACATGTAAAAGATACTTTTGATAATCTTTATTTATCTTACCGAAAAGGAACTTATTTCTCGATTTTATAAAAAATTCTGATTGTAAATATATAGAAGATGATTATAAAATAAATTATACAATTTTCAGATTGCGATCACTGCCGCATATTACTCGAGAATGAAAAAGGACAGAATCTCGAAGAAGCAAAACATTTCTTCGATCGAGGAGATTTCAAAATTGATAAATTTTCAAAAGCTCAGACAAATAAACAAACTTCTGCATGGCAAATCTGCTGGGTTTCCGGCACAAAAATTTCAACACAGACAAGGTGTATTTACAGAAAGTGTAAAAGTAGACGATTTCAAGTATTTAAAAAAGGTAATTTATCAAGATGCACCATGAGCATCGTATTTAATAATAAATGTGATTATTTAGGTCCGAAATTTATTTTTATCACAAAAATATTTGTACTTAAAAATAAGTCTGATTATATCGCGCATTTAATGTTAATTTTGTGATCAATAATGTGTATGGTTTGAATTCTTTGAAGATACGGCTCTATTAAGGTGTAACGAGGGCACGTTTCGCGTGCGGAAGATATATGGAGATGGCAATTGCATGTTTAGAGCGATCAGCTACATTTTGTGGCGAAACGAGGAAGAGCATCAATCGCTCAGAGCTATGGTTAGTCGCACTGTAACATAACAGTAAATATTGTAACTAGATGAAAATTTGCTACATGTGAAATATCACAAATATTATAAATCGATTGCAACGAAGTTAAAAATAGAATCGTTTTGTGACGAGAGATAAAGGTTAATTGGTAAAACGTGGAAATGGCATATATTGCTACCCTATAAATATTACTTTTTATGATGTCAACTTGATAGTAACACAGGCGGTAATTGATATATGACGACATGTATAACAGCTATGGATCATTTGGTATCGTAGGTTGTGCAGTACATTAAGGACAATTGGCGCGAGTACGGTCCGTTCGTGATAGCTGAATGGAACATTTCGGATTGCCAAGAGTATCACGATTATATGAGCCTAGTGGGTACATTCGCCAGCGAGCTGGAATGCACGGTAGCCACGAAACTCCATCGCATGAATCTTTCGATCTATCGCGAACTTCCTGGCAGATACGAGCTTAAGTTGGTCTTCCATAACCGCGTGAACATCAACTACGAAACCGCGAGGCTCCTATTCACCGGATGTTCCGAAAATGGTCATTACGATGTCTTGTTACCCGATTCAATGTCAAGCTTTTTTATGGGTCAATAAGATATATTTTGTGACTACTAGTAGAAATGATTAAAATAGTTAAAATACATTTTAACAAAATTACATAAGCGATAAAATTATAATATATATACAAAAATATACTAATTTTTTTAACAATTATTATATATTTTGTGTTTTGTAAGAAATGTTGCATTGTATAATTTGTTGAGAAATATAAATAAATATACAAAGAAGTATGTAATAATGTATATTAATTTTATTAAAATTATTACAATGTAATTTTAAAGAATAAATAACATAAAATTTAGTAACAAATTTACACAAATATGATATAGTTAAATATTTTGGTATAATTGATGAGAAGGATAAAAGAGATAAAGACAAATATTTTTTGAATTTTTATTAACAGAAAATCTATGTTCTTAAAAACTACGAGGATTGTCTTTAAGTAATATAATAATGTACTGAGATATTATAATACATGATAATTTATAATTCTAATTTGACTCTGTGTGAATATTTGGAATAATTCTCCCCTTCACATAATTCGTGGGAAGATACTGCTCGCTGTACAAATTTCCAACAATTTTTAAAGGTTTTTACTGTCTTTCTCGAGGAAATTCGCTAACAGAAAACACGAATTCCCACACTCGTGTTTGTGGCCGACTGGAATGCTTCATGCTTCATGAGCAAGAACAGGATTTAAAAGGAATAATCGCATCCCTGCGTGTGAAGCCATTGTGAGACCGTCGTTATTGCACTATAGATCACACAACTAAAATACAAGATCGCAAAAAGTCAATTAGAAATAAGAAATAATGTATACTCCACAAAATCAAATCTGTTGCATAATTTAATGCAAATTGTGCAAAAATGGTGAGATGTTGGCAAAAACAAACAGTAAATAATAAAATTATATAAAAGAATATTGTATAACAGTTTACATAATTGTGTTTAAAATAATTCTTTTTTTCATTTTTTATTGCATATATATTTCTGCAACGTCCATAAAATTTATTACTTCTTCAAACCTTTTCAAAATTTAATTTTGACTTAAAATATTCAAATATATTCGATACAATAATTAATTTTTAATTATATCAACCTTTTACCTTATTTGATACATTATTTTCGAGCACCAATTAATGCTAATGCTGCACTGGTCTCTTCTGACTGCCTGCACAACTTCCTTAGCCATTTCTTGTTCTTTTTGTCTTGTCGAGCTGTAGTATAAATTAGTAATTTAAAATTAGTTATTTTTTAGAAGAACAATAGAACAAATTTTTATTCTTTTTTTCTTCTTTTTAGGAAAGCTCACCTGCGTGTTGTTGTAGGTGAAATCGCGAGGAAGGTAAGATGGCTATTACGATTACTCAACTCCTGACCCAAACTTTCCATCAGACCTACATGTAAATAAATCACGCGCCATTAACCAACATGACATTTATTGTTTACCGCACGCGATTGACGAGTGGCTTTTATGATTGACTATACTCACCAGCGATCGCCGCCCTCGAGCTCAAATATACATCCTGGGTGGATGTAATTGGCGTAATTCCGACAATGTGCGCTCTGTCGCGTTGTAGCATAAATGGCAAAAATGCCAACACCATCTACAATAAGAAAAAAAAAGAAGAAAGACACTGCAGATTACACCTTATAATAAATAAATAAATAATAAATGAAGTAAAAAATATATATGGAATGTAGATGATATGCAGGGAATGGAAAGTTACTTTTTAAAAATAACTAGTTACAGTTACTCGTTACCGAGTAAAAAATGTAACTAGTTACAGTTACAGTTATCGCTTTTTAAAAGTAACTCGTTACAGTTACCGTTACTTGAAAAATAACTTTTCGTTACTTTTCCGTTACTTTTTTAAAATCAATTTAAAAATGTACTTTTGCATTTTTTTTTTATATGTAATACTGACAAATATATAGTTTTTTTTAAAAAAAAAAAAAACAATGTAGAATGGCTCAAATAATAAATTAAATAAAAGTAAAATGAGAAGGGTTACGAGCCAAAAATGAAACAGTTTATTTCCGATAAGAACGACGATGACAATGTAATTAAATGTATAAATATATATTAGAACAATACATAGATAAAACAAGATAAAAACAAACGACGTTTCGACACTTATTGTCATCGTCTTTTAAACTGTTTCGCTTTTGGGTTCATAGCCCTTCTCATTTTACTATTATTTAATTTATTTTTTAATTTTTTTTAAACACAATTTTGTAATTCTAAAACCTGTAAAATATGCAGCAAACTGAAATATTTGTATGTCCTATGTATTACATAGAAGATAGAAGTGTAAAATAATTACTGAATCATAACGGCCGAATGTCTAAGGGCTTTCAAGTCTTATTGATAAGCGCTATAAATAGCATGTATCCAATCGAACCGTGTTCAATCGTGTGCAAAGTAACGACAAAAGTAACTGTAAATTTCGTTACCGTTACCCAAAAAATGTAACTCGTTACCGTTACAGTTACCAAAAAAAGAAAGTAACGCAGTTACCAGTAAAGTTACCAAAAAAGTAACTTGTAACTGTAACTTCGTTACAAGTAACGAGTTACTTCCATTCCCTGATGATATGTGAAAGGCAAACCTAAAATCAAAACAAATTATAACGATGGCAAGATAAGGTAAATGTACCACTTCGTGGACATGACCCAATTGTTGGACAAATTGTGACAATTTTAAATATTAAGCTTTTGATGATATGTGTTACTCTAAATAAATTTTTAAACAATTTTTCATATTATTTAGAAATTAAATATTATATAATTTATTCATATTAAAAATGATACTTTTGTAAAAAAAATTTCGTTTATGGACAATCGTCCATTTATTAGGACATTCACACATATGCGTGTATCAATTATTGGACATTCCTTAGCGTACCTGTCTATTGAATGATTAAAAAACATATTAGGTACATATAAAACTTTATATAAAACTTCACTAATTACAATTTCGATAAACTTTTTTGTACAATCTTGATTAATAAGTAATGGCGAATTCGATTGGATGCACTAGTGCGCACTGAGTACACCTGAGTTCATTTGTTTTCCTTTTCTCTTCAGGAGAAGGGAAAAGGAAAAAAGATGAACTGGTGCAATCACTCTGCACTGGTGCATCCCAATCGAATTCGCCATAAGTAAAATGCGATTCTCTTCTATAATAAAAAAAATTGCTTATTATTTGTCCAATAATTGGGTCATACTTTTGTGGACACAGAGACACGTCACATTTTTTGTCCAATAATTAGGATATTTGAATCATATTATATTTATGACTAAATACAATTTATAATAAACGCAAATAACATATTTGATAATGGATTTAGTTTCAGAAAACATCCATTCTTACTAAGCATGTGTAATAAACTAAAATTTTAATGTTTCTAAAGTTTAAATAAATGATTTCGTCGTGCAATTCCTTAACTGTCCAATAACCGGTACATTTAACTTATGTCAAAATGAGATCGAAAATTAAAACGAAAAGTAATTAGATGGATTAAAGAGCAAAAAAAATGAATTTGCGGATAACAAAACAAACAGGATACCTAGTTAAAAACTTACAAACAAATATTAAAAGTGAAAAAAGCGCAATAATTAACGATAAAGATGTGGATAAAAAGTATATGTCTTATGACATGACTAAGATTGCTTCAAGGACATAACTATTAGCTGACGCTCACCCAATAATGGCTCATGAGAGTAGTATTGGCTGTATCGAAAATATCTTGATAAGGTTGCCCGGCACAGGTCACTAGGACGTCGATGCCACCGACCTCATCCTCGACCTTCTTGGCGATCTCACGTATGGCATTACGATCTAGCAGATTACATTCGTATGCTGCCATTGTGGGTCCTACATTCTCCTGCTCTTTTTCTCTATATTTAGGCCCGATTCCCTTCACTTTATTGCACCGTGATTTTAACCTAGCAGTTATCTCCTTGACGGATCTAAAATCGTTATCCACGCAGATCACAGAACATCCACCCCTCGCGAATTCCTCAGCGAGAGACTCGCCGAGAGTCGACGAAACCCCGGCAATCTATTACAAGAAACATTTGTTCACTAAAAAAGAATTATTCTACATTTTCAAGATTATTGAATTTTAATTAAATTTATATTTATATATAATATAATTCTCGATAGAGAAGAAATGCAAAATCTTAATATAACTATTTATTACATTTAATTGTATCACAGGCAGAATTTATTTCTTCTAGTGTTTTCAATCCTAATTCAAATAATATTTATTACATTTTATAAACTATATTGGTATAAAAATAATATTTTTTAATTATTAACTTTAATTATAAAGACGTAATAGTTGCATAATTTAAAATTAGAGTAAATAGAAAAGTGTACATACTAAAACTACATCACCACTCAAATCCCTTGGTGGCTTTGGCAGAAGAGACTTTATAACATTAAGGATGACTAAGAAACTAGAGATGACAGCGCCAATTAGGAATTCGAAACTGAGATAAAACAAAACGTTAATCGAAAAACCTATCTTTGAATTTGTAGTCACTGATTCGTCTCTAACTCGTAGCATCATCCACTGCAAAATAATACAAATTAATAATATAGATTATTTTATCATGACATTTCAATTTGATAAAACTTATTTAAAATTGAAATACTGTATAACTACAAACTGTAAGTTATTTAATAATTAATTGATTTATTTGTTACACTTTTTATTTATTTAACACTAAACGTACCATGACCCGGTCAAATGACCGCGGTTGTAAACATTTGATTAGAAAATTCGCATGAAATGTTATCACTTTTTCACATTTGACTTCATGGACTTTTTCTATTAAATATATACAATTAATTTTACATCATTTATTTATATTTTTATTTGTTAAATCTGATAAACACGTGTAGCCTAGCGTTATTTATCGCGACATGTCATTTGACCGGTTACAGTACAAATAGGTATATATTAAATCTCGGTAGTTTAGTGTTAATTTATTTATTAGATTTTAAAATGTACATATGTATA